TGTATATATATATAATATATATATATATGTATATATATATATATATAATATATACATAAATATTCTTACTTGGTTAACATTCGATGAAATTTTCCTAGTTGATTATAATCAATCTTCGATATTTATATGTATGTATAAATTTGAAAATATAAATGTGGAAGATTTATCATAATCAATTACCAACAAAATTATTCAACATACAAACAAAAAACTAGTAAGAATTTTTCAAAGAAAGGAACACATTAATGTGAGAACTGCCTAATTTGAAATAAATAAATAAATTTGACTTTTATATAGACACATGTGTTATATATTAAACGATGAAATAAATTTCTTCTATAAACACTCTAGAAATTCTAATAATTAGACTCACTCGCACTTTTATAACGAGACTGTGTAAGAAACATTTATCCAATTGTTTAATGCAGCTAGATTGATCCCATGATTGTCTTCTTTGTAACATTCAACGGAGCAGATATTCGACAAGAAAAAGTTGTAACGCTTATTAATATTGTATGGCACGTTCAAAGAGTTTTTTTTTATAACTAAGGTTTCTCGAGGGCTCGAACCAACTGTAAATGTATAAAAAAAGCTTCGCCGGCTCCAATGTCAATGCGAGCACGTAGAGGTTAGGGTGAATTAATAATAACATTGAACATCCTCGTTAGGATTTTGTATATTAACAATAAAATATATATATATATATATTTTATATATATATATATATATATATATATTTTATTGTTAATGAGTGGAGAATTGAGTAACCTCCTCCTTTTTCAAAGTCGGTTAAAAAATACTTCTCAATTTGTACACAAGTATTTTCATTTAAAATATAAAATAACTGGAAATATTCCATACACTGCAATTGATTCAAAAATAGAATCCTAAAGCCTCTTGTGGAAAACATTTTGAAACTATCAATAGATGAAAAGGTGACTCACCTGTATGATCGATGTGTCGATGATGATTCCTGACGTATGGGGGTGCAGGATGTCTCGGCTGCATGTCCCAGTACGGGTTTCGACTGTTTCCAAAATTATTGACCCGTGGCTGCTGCGAAGGCGAAGTCTGCTTGCAAGGCAACCTGGCCATGGCAGTCATCATTTTCTTCTGCACCTCCTCGTCTGCCCCAAAATTAATCACTTCATCGATGCCCCGCTTTGTTGCGCCGTCGTTTCAACCCCATTTTCGAGCGATCGTCTGTTCCCTGAAAAGTACAATTAATTATCCAAATATTAAATTAACGAGTGCTTTTCTTCTCTTATATATACATCAAAGATAATTCCAAGGGGCGTTGTCAATTATTAATCTCGAAAAACAACGATTTGGTGTTAACGCGAAATAAACGGTGTAAGATTTGATGAGTGGGTAAATCAAAATCCTTCGATAATAAAAATTCCTCAATCCTAAGAATTCTTCGGTACTAAAAATTCCTCGGTATCAAACATTTTTTACAGTCAAATATAAAAATGAAGACTTGGATTCAGATTGGCTAAATCTTTTTTTCTCGATTCCTCGATCAAAGATCCAGTTCCGTGGATCAAAGAGATCCACAAGAATCAAAATTCTTTAATAATCAGAATCCTCCAATAATGAAAATTCTTCAATAATAAAAATTCTTCAGTACTAAAAATTCCTCAGTATCAAAAATTCTTTACACTCAAATATAAAAATGAAAACATGGATTCAGGTTGGCTAAATCTTTTTTCTCGATTCCTCGATCAAAGATCCAGTTCCGTGTGTATCAGTCGCGGTACGATTATCATCCATTTCTATTCCTCAAACGCAGTGACACCACGCTGGGCAATATATCCTATACCTCGATGATAATATTCCGTCATAACGCGATCATGGTTCGCTAATGCATTATTGGAGTCTCATTTACAGTGACGGTCCAATCTCGTTCGCATCGGGAGCGGATCAAATATTATTAGAATCACGTTTCCGTACACGGTATTCGAACTTACACGGTGACTGAACCGTGATTGGATCACCGGTGCGAATGAAACATTGATGCCCGCGGAATGCAATTTGCCCAGCTGTTTGCAGATACGGCTACCATTCGAGCGGAATAATATTCGAGGATCAAAGATCAACCTTTCTTTATTCTCTCATTTTGTTTCGTTCGTTTCGTTCATCGAGTACGGAGAGCTTGAACAGTTATTGATTTGTATCTTCCACTTTTAGTTTGAAAATAAAAGCAGATACAATCAAATAGTAAAACAAACATTGCTTTGCATTTTTAATTTTTCGTTTCAAGAAAGTAAGCAGGTATAATATTTTTGTCCAAAAGGTGACAAACGGTTGGAAAATTTCTATTTAATAGTTGTTCATATTTAGATTCTATTTCTATTTTAAATAACAAACAGAATTTAAACTAAAATAAAAATGTCTATTTTCTCATAGCATTTAAAGGTGCGTTTCAAATATTAACTCGAATAGCAGACCAATAAATGGCACAAAAATTATGCGATGGCCTAATGTGTTCATGCTACTGTCTTCTGGAGAAGTATTGCAACCATAACGCGTGGAGCAAATTATGGATTCCTCGGGGTGAATTTATTTAATATTCAAGGAGGCTGTGTCTGAACTGAGAACGATCCGTAATGAAACAACCGTCATAAATCAAGTCCAATACCAAGAATAGTGAAAGCACTTCGGAGCATCTTCGTAACTGATTACCAACTCGTATAACTGTTCTAGGAAAACACGCCACACGTGGTGAAAGTGATCGACCGCACCAAAAGTAAAGTAAAACTAAAATTAGATATCGGCGTGAAATAAAGCAACGCCGTGCTTGACTTTCTTTAGAAAACTTGACGCTTTTCACGGCTTCGCGGTTAAAGGTGTTCTCAAACAGTGTCGGGGCAAAATGTAATACAATAAACAATTAATTTCTGCAATTGCCACGCACAATTGATTTTCACAATTGATTGCTTCTCCGTTGAACACTCTAATTAACAATTGCGATGTCATTATATGCGACCAGTGCAAGTGATCAATAAGTTGCTCGCAGAATTAACAATTAAATAATGGAAACCCTCTGCGGAAAATATATGATTTACAAAAATTTGTTTAATACTTTCTCGTGTCTACAATTCTAATTAATAAATAAAATGTATAATTTCCCACATTCTCTAGATTGTTCATTAATTTATAAATATACGAATTAGTAAAATGTATGAATCTTGACATTTTTGCTTGTTTCTACGAATAAACAAATTTTCTCCTACTAATTTACATCATGTACGATCCGTTACGTCTTGTCGGTGCTGAACAAACCATAATCCGTCAACGAATAATCACTAATTATGATTAATGATTAACGAGCAATCGCCAACAATTAACTCTGAAAAATTACAAGTCGCTAATTTATGATTGCAGATTACGAATGTAATTTATAACGTTAATCTGACAATAGCGAATGATGCTTGCGAAAGTAATCGCAGAGCAATCATTCAGATACTGTCCAGAGCATAAGTACGATTCTCGTTTACTCTATTTATTCAACGTCTTTATTGCGCCAGCGTAGAGATTCGAATATACTATGAAATGAAACTATGAAATATACGACTATGAAATAAATGAAGCGAGAAGTAAATTTCGTAAAAAAGCAAAGTGCAGCCGAAGTGCTGTTATTAAAACCAAACCACCCGACTCGAAATCGTCCAGGACAGGAAATGTTTTCAGAAGTATCACAACATCCGTCCTCAAAGGGTTGACACTAGAGATCCATCGCATCCGGTATGGTACTTTATATACAGGGTGTTCCACCAAACTCTCGCATTTTAAATATCTATGAATCTTTTAGGATAGAAGAAAATTTTTTAGAGGAAAACATTGGTTTGGAAGGATATACTATAATAACCAAGGAATCATTCTTATAAAATCCTGCTTTGATACACATAGTCAACATATTCTTCATGTTTGGAAAAAAATATGACCCAGAGACCATTTTTGCATCCATTATAGTACGTCCATTTCTCAACCAGTGTTGTTTGGGACACCCTGTGTAGCACAACCTCCAAGATTAATTTTTGTCCTAGGCTAAGATCAAAACTAAATAAATCTTTCCAGAAATTGCTGCACCCTTTTGAAACTCGCGTTTCGCGGGCGAAATACTTTGCGTACCTCTCTCGCTAACGATGCACGAGTCATTCCACTACGATTCTATGCTCCCCGATGATTTTATTCTTCCCTGTCGTTTACAAGATTGCGCTACCGAGAATCGCAGTCTCGGCAATCTTTCCTAGTAAACAGCGGCAAAAATGCGAGATGCATTATTCCAGACGCGTAAAAGGTCTTGAATTGTTGCAATCATACCGATGGCATTTTTACACAATTTTGCAATCTACGATTGATGTGTAAACGCACAGTGCACTTGACACGTTAGACGACAGATTTCTTTTGACCGTAGGACAACGACTATTCTCGATTTGCGTTTTTCAACTCACAAGGATGAATTATTATTTTATGCTACCCACTAGCTTGTGATAACAAATGTTCCTGCATTCTACGAACGTTGCTGCGCTAAAATAAAAATTTTCCTAAACACAAACTATCTGAAACTCTCTTCTCGAATTCTCCAACGACACTAAGCGCTATCCTCTTAATTAGCATGAATTTCACACGTAAAAATACGCGATAGATATGTACAATACCTCCATAAATAAAAAGATACAATAAATAGACTGCGTTATCCGTGAATTTTCGTGTCTTTATCGTACAATTTTTTGTCAACAGTGAAATAATCAGTAATTTGGGTCACAGAGGGTCAACACGGATTATAGAGCACCAGATAGCTCGATTCTCCGCGAATGGGATCCGTTATCACACGGGGGTTCGCGGGAAAGAGACACGCAGTCTTGAGTAAAGGCTGGACGATAAACAGAGGTCGATGAATCACTCTCGACACGAGCGCTCTACAAAATTGCGTATCAGTGAACAAAGAAGAAGGAGGTGCGCGCCGTTAACCGGCGAATATTATCGTGCGTTGAGAAACGCCCCCGGGGAATATAAATGGGATTGCCCGTTGGCCAACGCGCGAACTACATCTGTCCGCGTGTTTGCGATTTCTGAAGCATTAGCGCTACCTTATCTACCAGCTACTCCGGAAAGAAGGTGAAAATACTCGGAGAAAGCTTAGTAGAGCGGGAAAACACTATTTTCGATAAGCTTCCGACTAAGACAGTTTTTGATGATATCACACGCAATTTTACGGTGAGTCATATTCTTGGTTACGAGTTTCGCGTTTTTCGATGAAATCGATTGCAATTTTTTGTGATATTAGGTCATGCTAATGCACTACTGCCCAAGAAGTTTCAGGAGAATCCGTTGAGTTTTGCAAGAGTAATAAATATTTTTGGAAAATTTCGGGTGTACATACAATTTTATGATCACCAATATTTTTAATCATAAATTCGCCATTTTTTAATGAAATTATTTGCAATTTTTAGTGATATTAACTCATACTAATACATTATTGCTC